TTTAAATTTTAACACGAACATTTCTTAGCGGTACTCGACGACAAGACCGTATGGTCTTCTACGAGTCCCTGCGTTCTTTTATTTTCTAATAACGACCATTCTATTTATATTTAAATTTATTATTATATATTTATATTTGAAATATTGTAACGGAATGCTTATTTTACATGTAATAAAAAGTAAAAAAAAAAAAAATCTATATGTTCCAAAACGTAATTAAGCCAACATTTCATCTTGAAAATAAAAAAAAACAAACGTTTTTAAATAATGATAATTAAATAATAAAAATAGCGGCATTATCGATTTTTAGCAAGAAAACTTGATACTTGTTATTACTGTATTATTTAAAAATCAAAAGAACGCAAAGTATAAAAAAAATATGTGGATCAGAAAAATATTTAGAGAAAGAAAAACAAAAGTTTATTTATAAAAGTTTTTTGATCACGAACACTTTTTTAAGTTTTTCAGAATGATACCTACAAGGTATGAACATTTTTTTAGCTTAATTGCACCAGTTACAAAACCTTCTCTCAAACGTGAAACAATCGGAACTAGTGAACGATTAATGTTCACTTTGAGATACATATTTGGAGGCATTTTACAAATAGATTTAGCTGGTATGTTTCGAGTAAGTCTGACTTCTGTAGAAAGAATAATAAACGAAACCATAATACAAACATAAATAATTATCGCCCTATTTCAGTTCTTTCAGTCTTTTCAAAAATACTAGAAAAAATAATGTTCAATCGAATTTACGACCATCTAATTAATAATAAAATCTTATACGAAAACCAATTTGGTTTTAAAAAAAACAATTCAACAGAACACGCTATTCTCCAACTTACGCGCGACATCTCAGAATCTTTTTAAAAATCTCATTTCACATTAGGAGTATTTATTGACTTATCTAATGCTTTTGATACCGTCAACCATCAAATTCTAATAAAAAAATTATTATCATATGGAATAAAAGATAACACCCTCAATTGGTTAAAAAGCTATCTTACAAATCGTAAGCAATATGTTTATAATAAAGAATCCTCGTCTCAAGTGTTAATGAATGTTAATGAATGTAATGAATGTGTGGTGTTCCACAAGGCTCCATACTTGGACCTCTTCTCTTTATAATATATCTAAATGATCTTCATAAAACTTCAAGCCTAACAAAAATAATCTTTGCAGACGACACAAATTTATTTCTATCTCATGAAAATATTAATATTCTTTTCAACTACATGACAAATGAATTAAAAAAAGTTTCTGATTGGTTCAAAATAAATAGGTTTCTCAACTTTCTCAAAATAAATAAATCTCTCAACACAGCTAAAACTAAATGGACACTTTTTTATCCACTCCATAAAAAACATAGAATACCTCATTTGTTACCCGAACTATATATTGTCAATGTAATGATAAAAAGAGAAAAAGTAACAAAGTTTCTAGGAATCTATATTGATGAAAATTTAACTTGGAAACATCACATTAACATTATCTCTTCTAGAGTTTCCAAATGCATCGGTATTCTTTATAAAGCTAAAAACATACTAAATAAACGGCAGCTGACTCAACTGTACTATTCATTTGTTCACTGTCATATAAACTATGCAAATATTATATGGGGAAGCACTCAAAAGACAAAACTTAAAACTCTTTTTAATCATCAGAAACACGCAGCTCGCGCAATTAATTTTAAAAATCGTCTTACTCACTCTGCGCTACTTCTTAAAGATATGAAAGCTTTGAATGTTTATCAACTTAATATTTTCAATATTTTATGCTTTATGTTCAAGTGTAAAGAAAATTTATCTCCACAGGTATTTCAATATCTTTATTCTTTAAAACCGAAAAACAAATATAATTTACGAATTGACAACAATCTTAATGCTCCTTTTTGCAAAACTAAATACGACGAATTTTGTATGTCCTATCGTGGACCTCTTCTTTGGAACAAAATAGTTTTACCTAATTTTTCAATCAACAAAATAGTTTTATCTAATACAAAATAACAAAATAGTTTTACCTAACTTTTCAATCAAACTAAACTACTCCTCATTCAAAACCAAAATTAAAGAAATTATCTTTTCAATTGAAAACATCTTTATCTATTTTTGAGTTTTTATCAATTTATTGCTGATATATTATACTTTATTGTATTATGTTTTACTATTTACGAATATTTCCATAAGTTCTTTGCAAACTTATGTATTTAATGGTTTGTATTTTATTACTTTTTATTACTGTGTTTTGTTAAACTTCATATTATTTGTTATTTTACAAATTTTTATAACTTCATTATAATATTACGTATTTATATTATATTATACTCGATACTAAAATGCATTGTAAAGAGCTTCATGATAAGATCCTTATGATCTTCTAGAAGTCCTGCCACTAAATTTGTAATATATTAAAATTTGAATTATTAAAAAAATTATTTGGCAAAAAAAAAAAAAAAAAAAAAAAAAAAAAAAAAAAAAAAAAAAAAAAAAAAAAAAGTTTT